CCCCGCCCCGCGCGCCAGTTGGCCCCGCGCGCCAGTTGGCCCCGCGCGCCAGTTGGCCCCCCGCCCGCGCGCCAGTTGGCCCCGCCCGCTGCATACAGTATTGGTATTTCAATTAAAATTGTGTTGTCTACCAGACGACGACGACGGATTATGTCGTTATTGTCCTTAAAGCTGGCGGCCCGCTGCTGTCACTCACAAGCGGTGGTGTACACAGGCGGTGTTCACCAGGCGGTGTTCTTCATACACCAGGCGGTGTTCACCAGGCGGTGTTCACCAGGCGGTGTTCTTCATACACCAGGCGGTGTTCACCAGGCGGTGTTCTTCATACGGTGTTCTTCATACACCAGGCGGTGGTGTACACCAGGCGGTGTTCTCCAGGCGGTGTTCTTCATACACCAGGCGGTGTTCACCAGGCGGTGTTCTTCGCCACCAGGCGGTGTTCTTCATACACAAGCGGTGTTCTTCTCACCAGGTGGTGTTCTTCGCCACCAGGCGGTGTTCTTCATACACCAGGCGGTGTTGTATACCAGGCGGTGGTGTCACCAGGCGGTGTTAACCAGGCGGTGTTCACCAGGCGGTGTTCTTCATACACCAGGCGGTGTTCTTCATACACCAAGCGGTGTTCTTCATACCAGGTGTGTTCTTACCAGGCGGTGGTGTATATACCAGGCGGTGTTGTACACCAGGCGGTGTTAACCAGGCATTCGCAGGCGGTGTTCTTCATCACCAGGCGGTGTTCTTACACCAGGCGGTGTTCTTCACTACACCAGGTGGTGTTCTTCATCACCAGGCGGTGTTCTTCATACACCAGGCGGTGTTCTTCATACACCAAGCGGTGTTCTTCATACACCAGGTGGTGTTCTTCGACACCAGGTGGTGTTCACCAGGCAGTGTTCTTCACCACACCAGGCGGTGTTCTTCATACACCAGGCGGTGTTCTTCATACCAGGCGGTGTTCTTCTCCACCAAGCGGTGTTCTTCTACACCAGGCGGTGTTCTTCATACACCAAGCGGTGTTCTTCATACACCAAGCGGTGTTCTTCCCACAGGCGGTGTTCTTCATCACCAAGCGGTGTTCTTCATACACCAGCGGTGTTCTTCATACACCAAGCGGTTTCATACACCAGGTGGTGTTCTTCCCACCAGGTGGTGTTCTTCGCCACACCAGGCGGTGTTCTTCATACACCAGGCGGTGTTCTTCATACACCAGTGGTGTCGCTATACACCAAGCGGTGTTCTTCGCCACCAGGTGTTCTTCATACACCAAGCGGTGTTCTTCATACACCAGGCGGTGTTCTTCTACACCAGGCGGTGTTCTTCATACACCAAGCGGTGTTCTTCGCCACAGGCGGTGTTCTTCATACACAAGCGGTGTTCTTCATATACCAGGTGGTGTTCTTCATACACCAGGTGTTGTTCAGGCGGTGTTCTTCATACCAGGCGGTGTTCTTCATACACCAGGTGGTGTTCTTCATACACCAGGCGGTGTTCTTACCAGGCGGTGTTCTTCATACCTGGAGTGGTGTTCACCAGGCGGTGTTCTTCATTACACCAGGCGGTGTTCTTCGCACCAGGCGGTGTTCTTCACTACCAGGCGGTGTTCTTCATACACCAGGCGGTGTTCACCAGGCAGTGTTCTTCATACGCCAGGCGTTCTTCATACACCAGGCGTGTTCGCGGTGTTCTTCGCACCAGGCGGTGTTCACCAGGCGGTGTTCTTCATACACCAGGCGGTGTTTCACCAGGCGGTGTTCTTCTTTCCAGGCGGTGTTCTTCATCACCAGGTGGTGTTCACCAGGCAGTGTCTTCGCACAGTGGTGTTCACCAGGCGGTGTTCTTCATACACCAGGCGGTGTTCACCAGGCGGTGTTCTTCATACACCAGGCGGTGTTCACCAGGCGGTGTTTCTTCATACCAGGGGTGTTCACCCAGGCAGTGGTCTTCATCACCAGGTGGTGTTCTTCATACCAGGTGGTGTTCACCAGGCGGTGTTCTTCATACACCAGGTGGTGTTCACCAGGCTGGTGTTCTTACACCAGGTGGTATTCACGGGTGGTGTTCTTCTACACCAGGCGGTGTTCACCAGGCGGTGTTCTTCATACACCAGGCGGTGTTCACCAGGCGGTGGTCTTCTACACCAGGTGGTGTTCTTCCTTACTTCCTTCCTCCTTCACAATATCCTTCTCCCCTCTCTCTTATCCTCCTCTTCTTTCTCTTCCATTCTTTTCCTCCTCCTCCTCCTCCTCCTCCTCTACCCCACCGCTGGTAACCAGGATGGTGTGTGAACCAGCTCGTGGTTGTATTGACGAAAAAAACAGAAGGTGAACTCAACAGCTTTCTCCAGACACCCTCGTCGTGTCTGCCCCCCGCCTCTCTCTACAACACCACCGCTCGCCTCTACACACAAAACAGAACAGAACCAGAGAACTTGTTGCTGCGTTCACGTCCGGGATCTGAGGAGGTGTTATAGTGTAGTTGGGTGTAGAGAGTGTAATATAAATATCCATGAATAATAATCAACGTAATGAAGTGCAGATTCCCCAGATGAAAGATGTGGGCAGGGTGTATGTAGGTGTTGGGAGAATTGTGGAAAGAGGGTGTATGTAGGTGTGGGGAGGTTATGGTAGGGTGTATGTAGGTGTAGGGAGGTGTGGGAGGGTGTATGTGGGTGTAGGGAGGTGTGGGCAGGGTGTGTGTAGGTGTAGGGAGGTGTGGGCAGGGTGTATGTGGGTGTGGGGAGGTGTGGGTAGGGTGTATGGGTGTAGGGAGGTGTGGGTAGGGTGTATGTAGTGTGGGAGGTGTGGGAAGGTGTATGTGGGTGTAGGGAGGTGAGGCAGGGTTATGTAGGTGTGGAGGTGTAGGCAGGGTGTATGTGGGTGTGGGGAGATGTAGGCAGGTGTATGTGGGTGGGAGGTGTGGGTAGGGTGTATGTGGGTGTGGGGAGATGTGGGCAGGTGTGTGTGGGTGTGGGGAGGTGTGGGTGGGGTGTGTGTAGGTGTGGGAGGTGTGGGTGGGTGTGTTTGGTAGGATGTGGGCAGGGTATATGTGGGTGTGGGGAGGTGGGCAGGGTATGTGTGGGTGTGGGGAGGTGTAGGTAGGTGTATGTAGGTGTGGGGAGGTGTAGGCAGGGTGTGTGTGGTGGGGAGATGTGGGCAGGTATGTGTGTAGGGAGGTGTGGGTAGGGTGTGTGTAAGTGTGGGGAGGTGTAGGTAGGGTGTATTTGGTGTAGGAGATGTAGGCAGGTGTATGTGGGTGTAGGGGAGGTGTAGGCAGGGTGTATGTGGTGGGGTGTGGGGAGGTGTGGGCAGGGGTATATGTAGGTGTAGGAGGTGTGGGCAGGGGTGTATGGGTGTAGGGAGATTTAGGTAGATTTAGGTAAGTGTAGGGAGATGTAGGTGGATTAAGTAGGGTATAAAGTAGGTGGTGTGGTAGATTGTAGACTCAGATGGGAGGTGTAGGGAGAAAGGAAGGATCAGTGGGGAGTATTTGGCCCAGCACACACCAGCACAGCTCCAAACACACACCTGCATAGCTCCAACACACCTGCACAGCTCCAACACACACCTGCATGCTCCATCACACCTGCACAGCTCCACACACACCTGCACAGCTCCAACACACACCTGACAGTACAATCAGGTGTACCAGTGGACGACCAGGTGTACCAGTGGACGACCAGGTGTACCAGTGGACGACCGCGTACCTGTGGACGACCAGGTGCCAGTGGAGGACCGGGTGTACCAGTGACGACCAGGTGTACCAGTGACGACCGGTGTACCAGTGGACGACCAGGTGTACTACAGTGGACGACCAGGTGTACCAGTGGACGACCGGGTGTACCAGTGGACGACCAGGTGTGCCAGTGGACGACCAGGTGTACTGCAGTGGACGACCAGGTGTACCAGTGGGACGACCGGTGTACCAGGACGACGGGTGTACAGTGGACGACCAGGTGTACCAGTGGACGACCAGTACCAGTGGACGACCGTACCAGTGGACGACCGGGTACCAGTGGACGACCGGGTGTACCAGGAGACCGTACCAGTGGACGACCAGATGTACCAGTGACGACCAGGTACCAGTGGACGACCGGGTGTACCAGTGGACGACCAGATGTACCAGTGGACGACCAGGTGCCAGTGGAGGACCAGGGTGTACCAGTGGACGACCACGTGTACCAGTGGACGACCAGGTGTACCAGTGGACGACCAGGTGTCCGTGGACGACCTGTAGCAGTGACGACCGGGTGACCCAGTGGACGACCAGGTGTACCAGTAGGCGACCAGCTGTACCAGTGGACGACCAGGTGTACCAGTGGACAATCAGGTGTACCAGTGGACGACCGAGTGTACCAGTGGACGACCAGGAGTAGGTGGACGACCAGGTGTACCAGTGGACGACCAGGTGCACCAGTGGACGACCAGGTACCAGTGGACGACCAGGTGACCAGTGGACGACCACGTACCAGTAGGCGACCAGCTGTACCAGTGGACGACCGGGTGTACCAGTGGAGGACCGGGTGTACCAGTGGACGACCAGGTGTACCAGTGGACGACCACGTGCCAGTAGGCGACCAGCTGTACCAGTGGACGACCGGGTGTACCAGTGGAGGACCGGGTGTACCAGTGGACGACCGGGTGTAAGCAGTGGACGACCAGGTGTACCAGTGGACGACCAGGTGTACCAGTGAACGACCGTGTGTACCAGTGGATGACCGTACCAGTGGAGGACCGGGTGTACCAGTGGAGGACCGGGGTACCAGTGGACGACCAGGAGTACCAGTGGACGGCCGGGTACAGTGGAGACCGGGTGTACCAGTGGGACGACCAGGTACCAGTGGACGACCAGGTACCAGTGAACCGTGTGTACCAGTGGACGACCGGGTGTACCAGTGAACGACCGTGTGTACCAGTGACGACCAGGTGTACCAGTGAACGACCGTGTACCAGTGGACGGCCGGTGTACCAGTGGAGGACCGGGTGTACCAGTGGACGACCAGG